TATGAATACGTCCTACGCGTGTTCCTATGTCAATCCTTAGTAAAGTGTTTTTTAAGATCCAAATAGGCCTAAGTTTAATTCAATATCGTCTTCATTCATTTTACTTTACTTATACGCTCTTTAAGCAACCAAGGATATATATAGACCTACAATTGGTAAGAAAAAAGGAAAACAATACAATATGGACAAATGTGGTTGGGATATAATGGAAAAGATAAAAAGAGAAAGTCTGTTGGACGTTGGGGCACCACACACGATTTGTCCACTGTCTTTCTCCATTCCTTTCTGTCTTTTGCCATGGATAGATCATCTTTCTATGGCAGGCCCATCCATTCTTTTATGTGGTCTTCCCATAGCTTTCCTGGTACTGTTCCCTCAGGGAAGGTCTTTGCAAGCCCCGAAGACCTTGTAATAAGGCCATAGAGTTTTTGTTTCTATTTTTTTTTTTTTTACAATAGTTAGCGGTCATCGTGAGTCTAATCACTATATATAGTAACCCTCTCTCTAATCTCTTTGTCTCCTCCTGTAGCTAGTTCTCCTTCTGTCCCTGATGGGCCATCTGTGTCTTCAGCGAAGCTCAAGTTAGTAATCCTTCTTCCTCTAATAATGTCTAGGACTCCACACTGAAAGATCGCTGTTGTTAATTAAATAATTAAGAAAATGACTTTGTGCTGCAAGCGAAAGAGATTAATAATTTGGATAGCCGTAGTCTTACTCTGTTAGCGTCTGTTTTGACTCCGTTAGAGCTGAGACGTTATTTCTTTTGTTTCGTTTTATACGTGAAAGTTTTAGAACTCTATTTCTTACGGTGCTAGTTTATGGGCTGGTGTGTGACAGATATTGTAGATACTAGGTGTTATTTTAAGTGCTGATGTTCTTACGTAGGGAAAAAAGTATGCTACAGTGGCATTATACCGAGACATTGTTTTAAGGTATGAATAATTCAGGGACAATTATTCCTTATCCTTAAGTGTACCATCATCAATGGCAACATTCAGTGCTCCTTCTTCCCCAGTGCCACTATGACATGGAATGGGTTACTTGAAACAGCCAGGAAAACCAACAAATTAGCAGAGTTTAAGTCAATGATTAACACGCATGAGTAGATTGACATATGGATACTCGGTCGTAATTATCCCCCCTTTTGAAGTAACGTCTGTAAGATAACATATGATTATGTAGATATTGCATGTTTTGAAAAATATGTAATTTTACATCTACATTTTAACAGCGTATTATATATTTGTGAAATGTCATTCATTCATCTCTTAAGAGATCTTCGGGACCGCCGAATGGATTTGTATGAAACTTTGTACAAAGATCCCTTTTTTTTTTCTCCTAGGTGCTCGCTAAGAAACTATTTTGACAAATTCGCAGTTTAAACGAGGCTTTTCGAAAAAAAACAAAAGCTTTATGTTAAACTTTTGTATTTACGTTTAGGTGTTTCATCAAAATGGTCGGGAGTTTCTGAACAAAAGGAACAGAATAAGGCTAATCAATAATTCAACGCAACTAATCTCGAATTCACTAGCTCATACTGGAATCTTAGTTAAAGAAATCGGTCATGAGGCATTTTGGAAGGGAGACTGTGCAACGCGTCTTTTGATATTGTATTATTGAAATTTGTTCTCTATTATTCAGGTCCGATGTTAATATCTGTGACGTGGCAACGAGCTATTGATCATGTAGCTGGCTGATCATGTGGTATTCACTTTGGACTGTAGTCTCGGTGGTCCCGGGTTTGAACCTTGCCCGACGCCGTCCAGCAGGAGGTTTGGGGCCAATAATGGGCTAGAACAGGGGTGGGCAACATTTTTGCATCGAGGGCCGCATTAAAAAAAGTTTGGTAATGGCGGGCCGCATATATATATATATATATATTAGAAAGGTAAGCTTGCTGTGTAGAATGTCTTATAATTCATATATACACTGTATTACGATTTTTTTATATTGCTGTTGTCTTTTTATATCACAGAATCCCCACAAATATACCGTTGTACACATGTGCAGTATTTTACTTCTTACACTCGTGCATAATGAGAAACTATCTTACTAGTTGTTACCCCTGTGTGTGATTGCTGTCAAATTACAGTCAGTCAACATGGTCCAGTGATTTTACTTGTTTAGTTTCCACAAAAAAATGTTTTCTCACTGAATAAGACAATTTATGTTCCGGAAGTTAAATGTCGGGACGAGCGAAGCCTTCCCTTGTAGAGCATCACCAGAGAATGCTGACCATGTCCTTCAATGGTGCATCCTAAATCAAGGGACCCGAACAAGACTCTCCAAATACTATTCGGAGAACTGCCTGATCTGGAAACCACTTCACGGTTCATCTCAGATATAGGATTACTGATCTGAACCCTCCAACATGTAAAATGAGAACGAAGAAGAAGAACAGATGTATGTGTACCCAAATAGTGTGAACAGCAGCAATGGTTTTTAAGTGTGGAAATACAGCTTCTGGCACCCATAAAACTCCCGTGGTAGTGATGACTGGAACTTTTCTTTGCTTGGAGTTATGTCCTCTGGAGCTAAATCGGCTTTTCTTTATAAGTGTTGTACTTTTAATTATTTCACTAAAGATAGTTTCACCTTTCAGCAAAGGAAAATGACAAAAAAATTTTTTTTTTGCTTGCTTGTAGAAATGGGAAAGCCTTGTTTGAAAAGATTTAACATGCATTTGCATTTCATATGTAAACAATCAATTGCAATAGCAATTATAAAAAAACATGATATTTTGTCTTCCACTCTTCATTAAACATATTGTTAACAAAGTCACAGTCAATGTCCTTCAAGTAACATAACAATTTCTTCCTTGAGATTTTATATTCTTCTCCTTTGCCTTGCCCATGCTAAGCTAGCGGATACATTGACTTATTTATTGATAAATCATAACTACCCGTGGCTAAGTCCCCTAGCTTTAGTAATTTTACATTACTGCAGCTCTATTCTTAATTTAATGTTTAAATTATATGCAGCTTTGTGCAAACTTTCCTGTTTCAATATTATCGAGCTCCATCGTTACACTTGCCATCTTGTTCCAAGCCTACCGAACACTTAGACATTGTGTCTTGAATTGAGTGTATTGATGTATAGCCAATAAGCATAATTTTTGTTTACTTAAAACTTCTTATAACGAGACAGTTTCAATAATTTATATAGATATATATTTTTTAATATTTGCATTTTTATATCTATATACTTGTGGGCACACCTGATTTCTGTGTTGTCGGCGGGCCGCATGTGGCCCGCGGGCCGTAATTTGCCCACCCCTGGGCTAGAATGTAATAATCATCAGTTCTGAAGGAGCATCCAAAACATGTAACACAACAAGCAACAAAAAGAAGAACATGGTTTAATCAGAGAGCTAGACTTCTTTGTGATGTGTGGTGCAATGGAACGATAAACTAGAAAATGAGACACTAGATGAGAAGACTATCCATGCGTGGATGATGGGGTATGTTCAACAAACATTTCAGAAACTGACGACTTTTTCTATAAAAATTTGAAATTCTATTTAACTTCTCACTTGTATTAAGCTCACAACGTATTGAAACTTTTAAGGACATGGTCGGCTTTCTATGGTGATTCTCCACGTTTCTCTAGTCTTGGAGTGTTGGAAGAAAACCACCAGCTCCCTTGTGTGGACTCCTTCAAAGCGGACAGCCCGTCCGCTACCTGCACATCCGGATTCCTCAAGCAGGACGCCACATCAATAAGAATCATTTCTGAACTCCAACATAGATAAGGTTGCGTGTCAATGTGTTATGCGCCGGGAAGCCCATTGACTCCGACTTCACCCTGCTTTTCTTTCTGGGTGTGCTCCCATAGCCTTTGATCAACTAAGATCATCTGCAAGGCAGAAATTGTTTAATTTCGTTTTTTCTCCTAGATGAATTACTTTTCCTAGCTAACGAGCTTCATCTACCCGGGTTTAGAGTTACAGAGCTCTTAACTCGCTTTTTGCAATCATTTCCCTGGAAATTTTAGATGTTTTTAGTGAATATCCTTACTGGAATACTCCAGCTCATCCTTCATGACTGCAAACCAGTTGGTCAGCGGTGGCTGTTTTATATTCACAGCTAACCCTTATATCTACGTTTTTTTTTTTTTTACAAAGCTTTTATATCAACTCACTCTGTCTATCTGTCTGGTAAAATGTTTGTACACGTTATTTCTCCCACACTCAATCTCGGATCAAGCTGAAATTTTGCACAATTATTTCTTTTACCTGACAACACAAGAATCAATATAAAAATTAACCAATTAGTTAATTAATTATTTTGTTTGATATCTCAAACAAGGGGAAAAAATTATAATTGACTGAAAGGGTAGTATAAGCTGAATTAGTCCCCTTTGTAGGTCATCGTCTGAGTCTTAGCACAAATCTGAAAAATAGGTTAGGGCTATAGAAACATTTAATAGATAACTATACAATCTTCCATGTTCATAAGCTCTCCACTAGCAGAGTGGTTACCGTGTTGGCTTGAGAAGGTTTGAGCCATGAGTTCACATTCAGGTCATACCCTCTTTTAAAATTTTTATAAATGTTTTTTTTTATTGTAAGTGTAGATCTTTTACAAATTTAATTACATCACTGATCCAAACTAATTGATACAAGTATGCTTAATGTAAGCTTTGTTTTTTATTAAAGTATTTTTTTCCCTTATCAGCAAACCTGGGAGCAAGCTTGGTAGAAGATGGTAGCTTCCCAATGCTGGCCTCTCTGATATTAGTACTTACTAAGTAAGCAAGTAATATTTCAATTTCTTAAAAAAAATGATTAAAAATCAACTTTAATTATTCAAATTCATTATTTTGAAAAGAAAAGTTGTTAAAATAATTGGATAACAAAAACAAAAAAGTTACATAAACATTTTCAATGTCGGTTCTTTCTGACACTCAAAAAAAAGCCTTTACGAAAATGGAGTATATTTATTTACAAAAGCAGTTGTTTAAAAATGTTAAATAATAATAATACAAACATTTATTTGTATCAAAAATATTGTAATGACCTTTATATAACTTCTAGATAGATAAAACAATAACACTAAAAGAAGTTCAATAAAAGGGAGCGAATACTTTACACAAAAAGAAATGTTTGTCAATACAGTACATCAGTTGAAAATCATAATTGGTATAAAACAAACCAATCAGCAATTCTAAGTTAACCTTACAGCTTCATGGGTCCTGTTGGTATAAAGCAGTGATGCCCAACCTAATTCAATCTGCTGGCCATTTTAATTTCCAACACTAGTGTCGCAGGCCACATGATCGAAAAGATATAAAAACTTAATAAAATTGAAAAGAAACTATTTTTATTTCAAACCCGAGGATCTAGTACTTACATTGAATTATTGGGATATTTGAATTTTCTTTTTACACTTAAAAAAATGGTTTAGTTGTGTTGATATTTGTTTGTTCTTGTTTTTTAAAAACAGCCACATGTTGCCTAGCAATGGTATCATGTAGTACAAAAAAAGTAAAGATCCGTTCGCTTTTCCTAGTAGATTCTATACTCCTAGTTCATGAACGCACAAATGTTTAATGCCTTGGTAGTAATTCATTAGAAAAAAGTGAGGACCCTATCATAGGTAAAGATACATATTAAACATTTTTTAAGGGGGGGGGGGGGGGGGGGGGGAAGAAATTTTCGGTGGGCCGGTTGGAAGCACATCATCTGGCCTGCGGGCCATATTTTGGGCATCACTGGTATATGGCATAGTCTAAACAATATACCGAAGATAAAACAGATGTTTAGAATTTCTCATCAAATTAATGGAAAATGTAATGATGAAGTAAAAGGGCAATGATGAAGTGAATATTAATCTTGATGATAAATTTCAAAAGGCATCTAAAAACAAAACTTTTATAACTCAATTGCTAGTCAGCTTTTTGCTGCTGAGTTGACAACACTATCACAGTTTGTGTTCAACTCAAAAAGATAATATACAACAGGGGTTCCCAATCTGTGGGTCGCAACCCCCTTGGGGGGGGGGGGGGTCGATTGACGATTTGCCAGGGGTCACCTAAGACAATCGATAAATGGATTGTTTTTGTCAATTCTTCTATTGCTGCGTAAGTGTGGGTGGATGGGGGTCACGGAAGAGTGGGGGATAGTAAAAAGGGGTTGCTGAGCTTAAAAGGTTGAGAACCCCTGATATACAAGGAAGAACCATTATGTTTATTTAAAAGGATTGAACGACCCTTACTCAATGTGGTGTGGCAGCCATGGCATCAATAGGATAATATACAAGGAAGATCCATTATGTTTATTTAAAAGGATTGAACGACCTGTATTCAATGTGGTTTGAAGCGGTGTAGCAGCCATTGCATCAAGGGAAAAAATCAGTGGAAGAGCTTCATATGTGCTGCCCAAGTCCTCCCATCTATTAAATTTTGTTTTAAAATTGTGTATAAAAATGTGGTTACAATGTGTATTCTTATTTCTCTAAAACAAAGAACAAAACATTTTCGGTTTACCATTAAAACTTATAAATAGTAATACAAATATTTTTTATACATAATTTATATATGTAATAGCACTTTGGTTTAATATGAAGAAACATAATTATACTGTTTTTTTTCCTCCTTAGGGGGGTCCGCAAATAATGTGTATTTAATGAAAATCAATGTTTATGACTTTATGTTTAGTTATCAGAACAAAAAATACTTTGTTTTTATAGCCAGTGTTTTTAGAAATAAAAAAGCTGTAAATGTTTTGTTGAAATCCAGTTATACAGTTAAAAATGCACGTTTTCATAACAAGTTTTACTTTATAAGGGATATTCAGACATATATTTTTTTTATTCTGACCAGAAAAAGTGTACTTTCTCTAGGTCATCAATTCGGACCCCAACTGTGGCATCACGGAAATTATGCAACCAGGCATCCAGTAAGATGATGAAGTTGCCTGGTTTTAAACAGGAAGACAAAGGAGCCTTGGTAACAGCAAGATGATCAATATTTGGACCACCTGTGATAGTTGCATCAGTCCTTTGCTCATCATGAAAAATAATGGGTATTGTATTCAACATTACATCCTAAAAAGAAATTAATAAGTTTCATTAAATTCCAACTTATAACTCACACTTTTGTCACTGTCCAAAAAAATTTAAACAATTTCCTTAGACAACTTATTTGAGCTACAATTTCTCACAGAGTTTCTGCAAGATAAGATGGCAACACATTTTATTAATATTTCAGAAAGATTATTTCATTAATTATTGAATTCATTAAAAAAATGTAGTAACCCTCATAGCTCTGTGTTTCATACATGGGACTCGGGGTAACTAACAATTATAGTGTATGTTTCTTATAACAAAGTATCAGTTATATCCCTTATGCATATTAATATTTAAAGAATGGTGGCTATTTGGTCATATGTGCTATATAATTATTATTATAGCCATGTATTGCTGTACTGAGTGCTTTTCAGAAAAAAAAAATTAGTAAGATCCTAGCTAAAATTTCCACCAGGAAATGACACTTCAAAGCCTATTCCATTAGCAGGTACACACATTTGTACATTAACAGCCCTATGAGTGTGTCAATATAGTAATTTAAAACAAATATACATAAAGGATTTTAATTGGAGAATTGTATTTGGGTAGACATGAAAGAGGGCCCATTTGATAGACTTACTATTAATTTTATTATTCATTGAGCTTAAGCTAGCAAGAATAATCCATTTTTTTATGGAGAATTAAAATGTATATTTTATTTTGACTCTAGGTCAAAAAGGGTAATTTCATTAAATATTGTATCAGGAATTGAATGTTATGCAGGGGACACTAATACTATGTGCAATTGAAAAATTCTAAAATTTGACTTTGATGCAGATGAGTTTGTCAATTATTAAAATTTCATCATAATAACCTAAATAACAAGCAACAGTAATTTGAAGCAAAATTAATCTTCTTGCACTAAGATACTATAGGGGGCTTGTTACTTCTGTTTTTCAAATGGTATATCAAGAAAAGGAGGCACAGCGGCTGAGTGGTAGAGCCCTTGGCTTCCAAACCTAGGGTCCTGGGTTCAAATCTCAGTGAAGATTTGGATTTTGAATTTCCGGATTTTTAGGGAACCTCTTAGTCTACCCAGCTCTACCTTACATTGGGTGAGGAAAAGTAAATGCGCTCTGTCATTGTGCTGGCCACATGACACCCTTATTAACCATGTGCCACAGAAACAGATGACCTTTATATCATCTGCAAATGGCAGCTAAAACATTAAGAAAAAGTGAAAAGTAAATTAGCTTACCATTGCAATAACTGCATAGCGCCAACTGTGAGGATATGGGCTAACAATTTGAGCATATATCACTGGCCTAGCAGTGTAGTGAGCAGAAAAAAAAGGGCCAGCAAAAAACGTTGCTGTGGAAAGCAAAAAAATAATAATCAGCTTTTAAGTTGTTACTATTGTTTGTTTTTCTAATATAGCCATTTCACTGAACAGTTCCACAATTTATAAAGTGTATTGAACAAAGATTAAACTTTAACAAATTATAAAATCACAAAAAAAAATATTTTTTTTAAATTAGTAAAATATTTTAAAACAATCTATTTTTGAAGGGAACAAAGTTCTTTTTTTTTATATAATAAAAAGACAAACCACAGTTTTAGAAACGTTAGTGTACTAGTATTCGTAAAATTATAAAATTATAATACTGCATTTGGTTTACGTTAACGTTAAAAGGGGGATAATGGGAGATTTTGTGCTGTACAAACTCAACAGCCATTGGGTCAGTTGTACTCACACAAACTAAAGTCGCATGCACAACAGGAACTATGAATTGACCAATAACAGCCCATGATTATCATTTACAGACAAAACTTATAGATATCAAATTACTGATGTTACTTAATAACATGGAGGTGTAGTAGCTGAGTGGTAAAGCGCTTGGCTCTTGAACCGGGGGTCCCTGGTTCAAATCCTGGTGAAGACTGGGATTTTTTATTTCATAATCTTTTGGGCGCCTATGAGTCCACCCGACTCTAATGGGTACCTAACATTAGTTGGGGAAAGTAAAGGCGGTTGGTTGTTGTGCTGGCCACATGACATCCTCGTTAACCGTAGGTCAAAGAAACAGATGACTTTTACAGTATCTGCTCTATAGACCACAGCATCTGAAAGGGGAACTACTTAAGGATGTAAAAAAAATTCTTACATGCTAAGTGATTAACTAGGTTGCCAAATAATAGTTATAATGACAATGTCTTCAATTCCAAAGTTAAAGGATGAATGCAGTGTTTCACATCGACTACACTAACCCAAATAGTAGGTCATGTAAAAACAAATATGAAAAAATAAATTCTTACGTGCTAATTCATGAACGAGGTTGCCAAATAAAGGGCTTGCTTTTTTCTTTTCAGTTAGTCCTTTAGTCTTAAGCATCTGAAAAGTCTGGCCAGAGAAGAGAATCTTTTCTAGGTAACTGAACAATGCCATTAAGGCTAAAAAAAATTTAGAAAACAAAAAACTTTAAATATAGATGTAATTTTCAAACTAACTTCTATGAATTTATTAAAAAGAATGGTTCTGGTAATTAAGAAACAATATAAAAAGAGTTTGACTACAAACTCATGTTATCGTATAAAATACAGACTTCACTTCAAAAAAAAGAAGATCATTATGTCCCACACATCATGCATCTAGTTATGCATGTTAACCAATGACTTAAATTCTGCCAAGTCATTGGTTTTCCTGGCTGGCTAAGGCAAGCAACCAATTCCATGCTCTAATAGCACAAGGGAAGAAGGAGCATTAGTATTCCTGGGTGTCAGTTCAATCACACATTATGACATTATGGTGCACATGCACAAAAACATCAATCTTGTAAGATGGAGAGTAATAAAGAACACGCTTGTCTCTCTTTGTTTTTAAATTTTTATTATATGTATGGACATACAATAGGCATACTCAGTTTTTAAAAGAGTGCCTACTTTTAGAAGACCAGGATTAGCTGTAGCAAACACAAAAAATATGTTACATTTTTACTTCTTTGTAAATGTTACGATCATCAATAGTGCTAGATGTTACAATCAAACTTGATGTCAAGATGTCACATTGAAGCACAATCAATGATCGTAATTGCTGAGGATCTTGAAATCGTCTTTAATAAGATGATCGTATAGAAGTAGCTAGATCTAGTTGATAATACGATCATTCAGAATGTTGCCAGTTGATAAGAGGATCATCTAGAAGTTGCCAATCGCAAAGTCGGTCAAAGTATGTTACTATATTCAATGAAGAAACTTCTCTTCGTCTAAAACAATTACTTTAATTCAAAACTTGGAAAAGCTATTCACAAATAATTACAATGGTTAAATGTACTTGAATAAAACAGAATAAATATAAATCTGCTAAATAAATGATCTACACTTAATGTAAAATATACATCTGAATCCTAACACATTCCGTACGACACTGACTAAAAATCCAGAATCTTTCCCCGGGTATAGCGTTGTCACGTGTCTAACACCCCTCGTTGCAATGCCAACCAATAAATGCAGCTCAATATACAATAATTAATATTTCAAAACCAATCACATTTATTCCCAAACATGATTCTGCTGCGTGAAGGAATTCTCCGAGCTAATAAGTTCTGTCTGGTAACCTTGGGCGGCTAAATATAGATA